AACTACCTTTACTGATGAATTTTTGAGGGGCATTCGTAGTTCTACATTATAATGTAGCATCCTTATATAAACTTTTTCCTTGTTTTTTTTGTTTTTTTGTTTTTTTTTTTTGTTGATATGTTAACCTTTGGAATGGCATCTGTCCCACTAACCACCGATAGGCCAACCTCATTCCCTAGAAAGACAATATATACGCCACAATCGATTATCTAAACAATAGGGGCCATGGTTTTGTTGCAATCGCACGTTTTCCTATCTAACGGCCCAATCTTTCCAGTTCTAAATTAATTGCACTCATCTATATCACGATTGGGCATTATCCGGACCTGGACCCAAATTTATCGGACCTAAACCCACACCAGACCCAGACCTAGAACGGGACACGACCGGACCCAATCTAAAAATCAGAAAACATAAATATTTAAAGAAAAAAGTTATATAAGGTTGCAATTTTAAAATGTAGAATTAAAGATGTACCTCAAAAATGAATCCATTGGAAAATGTTGTTTTAATGTTAAAAAACCCTCTAATTGATCAGCTTGACATCGAGATGTATGAATTTGAAGAAAAAAAATATTCATCTTGCAACACATTATCTAGACTACCCATTTTCAAGATTCCAATATGTTTATAGATCTACTTGATTTTAACTATTTTTAGAGTTTAAAATTTTATAATTTATAGATCTCCTTGATTTTAACTATTTTTAAAATTTTATAATTAGATGTGAAAATAGATTTTGAGATTCCTAATTATTTTTTACACCAAAATTACATGTTATGATAAAATATGGAGGTGCGCCTTAATTGGATTGCTTAGATATTATAACTAAATATATATAGTAATATTTATTTAAAGGAAGAGACTACAAAACACTCATGAACGAAAATAAACAATAATTTTGCTTATAAGATCGACACCGTCTGATTTTTTCGAATGGCATGGATTAAATCCCATCACGAATCGTGATGGGATTTTTTCACACAAAATTGATGCAAAAAATATACGGGGACCGCCACAGCTCCCGTAGGTCCGTGACAGTTTTTAAGCAAAACCGTCATTGACATAGCATGTCTGTGACTGGGACGAAACACTTTAACAATTCGTCTATAGGTGTTTTTAATATTTTTTCTTATTTAAATATTTATTAAAATATTATATATATTAAATATGGACCAAGTTTCTATGCGGCCAAGCCTACATATGTAGAAATGCAGGCTTCTTAATAAATCTATTTTTGAGATGGATTTTAAGACTTAATTTTTAAGGACATGTACTATCTATCATGGAGATGATGAATATAAAAAAATAAATAAATTTGAAAAACTAGAGAAAATAATTCTAGTAAGAAAGCATCTGGACCGTTAGTTTCCATTGTTTTTAAATAGAACACCTACTTGCATCCATCTTTAAGGTGAATGCTTTACACTTTTTAGACCCCATCGTAGAAATACGGTACAGCCCGCATGAAATAAATTTCCATTAAATATTATTTAAATATTAGCATTCTTCAGATTGGGTCCAGGTCAGGTCTATTTGGACCCAGACGAATCTACCGGTCCAATTTTTGGACCTACACCGGACCCCAGGTCTGGGTCCATTGCCACCCCTACCTCGCTGTAGGTTAGGTGAGCTAACGCCTACCATCCGAGTAATAGGATGAGACCTACACCGGACCCCAGGTCTGGGTCCATTGCCACCCCTACCTCGCTGTAGGTTAGGTGAGCTAACGCCTACCATCCGAGTAATAGGATGAGAGAGAGAGAGAGAGAGACAGAGAAAGAGACAAGTCACATTCTTAGGAGCCCTCCACTCTCCGCATCCATCAAAATTTTAATCGGATGGATGGTGTTGCCCGTCTAGACTCACGAGGTCATTTGCCTTGAGAAAACCGTGTAAAAGAGTGCACAAATCGCACTCCCACAATGGCGCACTGTATACTTACTCCCTCGGCTAAAACTCATCTTGGGAGGATTTTCTTAACTTGAAAATTTGAGATCGACATTTTCATAAAACTTAGATCTGACCATCCAAAAGTTAAACAGCTTTCTTTCAACAATCGTAAGACATTGGCGTTCAGAGTGTCTTAGAGCTAATGAACCTTTTTTTTTTCTTTCTTTTCGTTCTTTCTTTATTTATTTTTATTTTTTTTTGTGAAGTTCGTCAGTTAGAAGGCTAAGTCGTATGGCAAAACTTGAGGTCCTAAAAGTTAGAAGTTTCCACCAAGTGAATGCACGACATATAATCTTTACGCTTCAAGGTTTAAAATGATTTTGCTGCCATTATTTTCCAATGGGTTCACGCAAGGGAAATGTTTCTATGTCACCCAACAACATATAATTAATATGTGACCTCACTTGTTTAACAGTTTGATTCAGAATGAATGGCTACGATTGTTCATACCACAATGTCACCCCAAACACTGTTTTATTTGTTTTCTACAAAATATTTTTGGATGAAATGTTGGGCATCTCATCATAAAATTAGGGTAAACCTGGAAAAAATGAAAAACAAATATTTTTTATAAAAATAAATGATCAAAATGCCTCTACAATTTTCATGAGTACTCTGGTAATTTTTATCACCAGAAATATTGTTTTATTATTTTTATCATGTGCACCCATGTCAGATCTATACATGCCTCAAATTTTGTTTCAAAATAATTTGTAGAATAAAAATTAAAAATAAAAAACTATGAGCCGTCTGATTAAAAACCAAAAGTTAAAAGCTAACTTGGGGCATTGTGACTCAAACCATCTTAACCATTTCCTCAGATGTGAAGGTGGGGTGACATAGAAAGCTTAAATCATTAATAATCAATGTAAAGCATATCGTTAATATGTCGTTTTGGTGTCCAAAACCGTTGCGATGACTAATATATATTTTTACCCTTATTATGTGATTTAAAACTCCAATAAGGTTACAGTTCAGAAAAACTATAAACACTTTGTAAGCATTCAAAGAAAAAAACTATGAACATTGAAATTTTGAAAATTGATGGTCTCGATGATGTGTTACAATATGCATAATTGTTAGGACTTGAAATCCCCTTTTTTATATCCATTTATCTCATAGAAAGCTTTTGATGTAACCCTACTCGCATATAAATTATGGGACCCACTTCTCAGTCGTTCGATTTGAATGGACGAATACGATTGATCATGTCACAATGTCACACCAAATACTATATGATTTTTAATTTTTTTCTCCAAAACATTTTTTAGTGAAATTTGGAGCATCCCATTTTATTGGGGCACCATCAGCAAAAAAATTTAAAAACAATTTTCATGAAAATAAATGATGAAAATGCCTCAAAACAAAGTTTCAAGAATATTCATGTACGCCCTTGTCATATGTATGCATCCCCAAATTTCACTGCAAAATGATTTATAGAATACATACTAAAAATAAAATGCTATGAGCTATCAAATCAATATTTGATGTTCAAAAGCCAATTTGTGACATTGTAACTCAGTCCACCTAAACATCTACTTAAATCTGACGGCTGAAAGCATAAGGGCACATATACGTGACATTGTAACTCAGCCCACCTAAACACCTACTTAAATCTGACGGCTGAAAGCATAAGGGCACATATACTCTACGTGGGTGGGGTCACATGGAATGATCAATTGTAGGATTTTCCAACATTACAACAAACTTTTTAACTAGATCTTTAAAATACACCTTGCTTCAACGTATAAGGTCGTCATCTTCTATTAGTTTTTTCCTTCTTTTTACCCTTATTACATCATCATCATCATTGGAACTTTTTCCCAACTATTAAAATCAACCACACAAATCATGTTCTGTCATCCTATCATATCAAGAACCATACTCTCAGTCAATACCGTAAGTTCATGATTCATAAAGAGTTGAGGCAAAATTTACACTGACTGCCTATGTAACACAACCCTCTTCTTTACTTTTATCTAGTCCTGAGACCCAGCAAGAGGCCAGCCAAGATAGATAGAGCATTTACCCTTATCACCTCCCCCTATTAAATCTAAGTAGTTGATCAATGAATGCTACTTTCATTTCAAAGGCTGGTTCCCAACATTAACATAAAGTCGTGCGAACAATTTTATACACATCTTCACTCATTTATGTGTTTTTTTTAAAAAAAAAAAAGAGGAGAAAGAAAAGGGTGAGAAATGAACGAAACAAAAAACTAAAACAGAAACAGAAACATCATAAATTCAGTGAAGGCTGTAACCATCTCAGACACCCAACACTCTCTCTGTCTTGTCCCTTTTTCTTTTTTGTTGTTTGGTGTTAAATGCACATGACCACTGACCTCGTGAAGGAAACAGAAGAAAAAGAGAGTGGTCCATGGTTTATGTGCCTTAACGCAAAAGAGAAGTAAAATTTGTGCATAAAGATCTGTGGGGACAATGCATCCTCTGATAAGTGGGGACAATGCAACCTCTGATAACTTGGGCTTGCAGATCAGAGAAATTAAGACTCATGCTCGGTTTGCTGACCTCGATAATTGAAAAGTAGGAAGTAGGGAGTGCTAGACCGACTTGAGACGTAGAAGAGGCCTAGGATTGTGAGAGATGCAATTCATTTCTAAAAATAAAGTATGAACCATTCACTAAAAATAATACTTAATAAACAAAAAAAGAGATAAGAACAAAACAAAAAAAGAAAAGAAAGGGCAATTGGAAACAGAAAAGAGAGGTTTTTTTTTTTCTTTTTTTTTGAGGTGTGTGGTGGGTGGGCAGGCGCCTTAACCCATCCAAAATTGAGAAATGAAATCTGAATGAAATCCTAGAATGCATAATGAATAATTTGATGCAGAGTCTTCGTGCACAAATAGAACGAGATTTAAAAGCCGGATGCATCATTCAATACAAAAGATCTTTAAGATAAAGAATCGGCCTACAAAAAAAAGACAAACAACCATACAAATATTAACAACTAAACATTTTAAAAAAAAAAGATTAACAATTACACAAAGATTAATAATAAAAGGAAACACCGACAAATAGAAAAATCAATACAAGAAAACTAGAGAAGCAGATAACTTGGAAGCGAAGGCCTCAAGTCTTTTGTGTGAGAGAGAGGGAGAGAGGGATACGAACCTCACCATCTAATGAGAGCAGAGAATGCAACTAGAAAGTGCCACCTATACTGATTTTCTCTAATGAGACACAGAGGCATAAGCTCCTTTTAGAGAGAAACCCCCTGTGATGATGCACAATGAAGCAAAAGCCGACGCAAGCTACAAGTTATTAACATAGAATTAAATATATAAATGAGGGCATACACATAGATGGTTTAAATTAATGGCAGTGGGTATAATGCTCAGTAAAATACTATCAAATTGCAAGGAATTATACCATAAAAAATGAGCTTACAATTTGTTATAGCAGTTCATAGTTTCAGTACCCCTTCTGTCATCGCTTCTAAAGTTACGACAGTTAGAAAGTTTCAGTACACCTTCTTTCATAACTTTTGAAGTTAAGACAGTTGATAGTCTCAGTACCCCTTTTGGAGTTATGACAGTTGATAGTTTCAGTACCCCCTCTCAATAGAAGCTCCAATGACCAATTAGACCTTGAATTCAGCAGTTGCTGGCACTTTATTGAATCAAGCTGTAAGAAAGATTTCTCTAGGAGCTCCGAACTGATTAAAGAGCATTCACCTTTTCTTTCTATGGTTAAAAAAGGCATTCACCTAATTACCAAGATATAAATGGCAATGTACAAATAAACATCAGCAGATGGTATATCATACGCTGCTGCTCTATCCACCATGATTCACCCTGACATTTTAAGTGATTCCCAGTTCAAGTCGATGCTTATCACCCCCAAATATTAGGCTATCTTTTTGCCTATTTATTTTCCGAGTTTCATTATGCAATTCCACATCTTTTTACACCCATATAAAGAGAGAACAGTGTGATGTCAATCACAACTAAAAGTGCTGCTCATGGAACTTTATGTACTCCATTATTGCTTTGTAAAACTTCCTGAAGTTCAACTGAAATGAAATAAATAACAATTCAATGAAAGAGTCAACTTTGAGCAACAAATCCCTCCAAAACCTCCCTTGCTCAAACACCCTCCTACCTCTCCTTTCACATCATTCATGTGGCATAAAAACACATTTTCCAACTCCTCTTGGCCTCTCAATTATTGTAAACCATCCAGCACCTCGTACTTTCATTATCTCATATTCCAAGCAACCCTCTCGAGTGGCTCTCACATCTTCCTCTGAGGCGTTATTGCATTACAGGATTGTATATTGGTATGCGTCCTACTCTTCTCATAGCTAGGCAAAAAACCCTCTTACCAAACCTTCATCAACAGTCTCCAATAGCACTATCTACAAACAGAAAAGCACTTTGAAAGAACTATTGGGTACCATGCCATCGTGAAATCCCAATCGCTATGTTTCTCCATATTATATTAAAAGTGAAGTAAGTGTGCTCTATTGGATAGAAGTACTCGTAAACATAATAACGTGTATGTATCTCTATGCTAAACCCCTCATATAGGCACATTAAATAAGTCAATCAAGAAAAGGCAGTTTATAAAACAAAACTGATTCCAAATGCAAGTCATAGCTTTTATAAACAAGCAATCAATTTGAACCTGGGTTTGGATGAGGAACACAGAAATTCATTTTTCCTATCTCACAGAGTATCAAAAATTTTGCCTATAGAAGTTATGAAAACTTGGCTAACATCAGATTCATGTTCGTAAACAATACATCTGTGTAAGTAACCATCAATGAGAGTTAACATAATCATTAGCACTATCCTTGGAGCAAGAGCAGGACATCACATGTACAGTAGACCAATTTAAAGCAAGGAGTGTTTCTTAGTTGCTAGAGAGAAATGAAAAGCCCAAGTGTTTTGAGATGTAGACAAAGCGAGCTTGGCTCCTATACAAGTAGGACACGCAGGCTGGGCATAGAAATAAAAGGTAGAGGTATCGGAATTCTAATTATGTTAGGATTTAGGAATTCTGAAAGGGTTTTTGGTTCTCCTATAAAGATTGGGAGAGCAGAGTTTTAGAATTTTTTAGGTCCTCTGAAACATTAAGGAGTTGATGATAACACATTAAAGAAGATCTTGGGCTACATCTATGGAAAAGGGTTTGTTATGATTAGGGCAATAATTATGGCTTATGGGTTTTAGGATAGGATTTCCTTATTGAAACTTAGGCCAGTAAGGTATGATGATGGTTGCAAAAGAAATCTAGGGTTTAAACTAGGGTTAAGTCTATGGGGTTAGGATAATGATTAGGGTTAGCTATTGGTTAGGGTCAGCTATTGATCTAGTTTTTACAGTGAGGTGTGATAGAAGGTTTTGAATGGTTGACAAAGTGGGTTGTGCAGAATCTTAGACAGGGATCTGCTACACAAGAGGCGTAAAAAAGGAACCCAGCTAGTCAACCATTTCTCCAAAAAAAAACGAAAAGGAACCAAGCATGTATGGGGCGAACCTCCAGACCACAAGCTAGGATTTCGGGGAATTTCGCACCAAAAGAAGAAGAGGGGCTCAATCTTTTATTTGGAGACCATCTACCAACCCTAGGCAAGAGGTGTAGTATCAATCTTTCTACAAAATGAACTGAGGATTCTTTACTCTCGAAGTGGCCTCCCACAACAATTGAAACCCAGAATCTTATTACTCAAATTCATCTGCTCATAGGCCCACATGGGTATTTATAGATGTCCAAATCTTTTGTTTGACCTAACTTGGGACTCAAACTATCTCTACTTTCATACAATTCTTAGTATTCAAGATTCTTTCAAAATTAAGTAACTAGTTCCTTTATAGTTTAGGATTATCAGACTCTTATAAAACATGGCATGACTCTTTGTGGACTCATAAAAAATTTAGAAACTAACTGGCGAACAAACAACTCACTAATCAAGACTCCCAACTTTTTAACTCATGGAGCTTACAATCTCCTAAAAGATAGCCTAGGTTCCTACCTTATGGTTTCTAGGATTCAATAAACAAAAGAAAGAAGCCTCACACACTTGGGAAAATAAAATCTATCATTGATTTCTCCAACAGGCTTTGAACCATGGCTCAGATCTTCTGATTTAAAAGGAAAACCATAGAGATAAGGGTCATAGATCTCGTAGAGATATTTGATTAAGCTTTCAATCCCTCCAAACGGACAGCTGGGTGAACGTTTTGCTTTTGGAAAGCTGTCTGCATTATTTCGCAACACAGCTTCTTTACAAAAAAAATTCCGAAACTTGATAAACAATTAATTCAAGAAGATGTGAAGCAACTACCCAAAAAAAAAACCATGAAAAGCATTGTTGCAACATGATTGTTGGCCTTATTAGTAGGCTAGTGGAAAGGGACCGGAAAGATACATTGTTTATTCAATACCCCACCAGCTTGGCTAGCTGTTGAGTAATGGTGGTTAAGAAGATGAGAAGCATAAAAATTATATGACCAAATTTATGGTGCCTTGAGGCCCAAATTTTATTCTGTATGAAGAACATTGGATGTGGCCTATAGAAACACCACAAGCAGGATCACTTAGAACTACTGGTTGAGACATGGCAAAGACCAAGTGGCTGAATGTTGACTCTGTGTGGGATTTTTTCATCTGAAATTGGATCAGCAAACTTTACCCTTCGTTGAGGTCAATTTTCTTAGAATCGGGGCAGTAACAAAACCGGGGTTGTCCCAAAACTAGGGTAGCATTAGAATCAGGGTTGTATTTGCATCGGAGCTCATTTTTACAGTGAATTTGAGAGCATGAAATGGCTTCACTTTCATCGAAGCAGATGCCCCGGCTTGGTATAAGCACCAAGATTCAATCAAGTTCAGGAAAGCATACATCAGGACAAAGCCAGCTTGGTGAGACACCTTTCGAGATAATGAGTTGCACTTACACGTTCATAAACTCTTCTAACGTAAGATATTCATGTTGATTTGTCTTCAAATCCATTGAGAATTGAACAAAAATCAATTTGAAACAAATATCACTGAAATACATATAACAAAACTTGGTTTTCAGATAATTTTAATTGGCCAAGATATGGAGTCGAGGAGAGAAAGTCCATATAATGGTCATGTGACCACCTTGTGGTCCATAATGTAGAGTGAACCAAATTAACAAAACTGCCCAAAAAGAAATCCCAAATTCCTAAGTTGTTTTAAAACACAGTATCCAAATTTAACAATCCCCACCTGTTTCAAAACAATTTGAATTAAGTTGTATAGAATGCTTTTTAAGATAGCAAAAGGACAAACATTGAAATATGTCCATTACAAGTAAGCCTCCCACACACCAAACATTGTCTTTAGGGAAGCTATGGTTTTCCAAGGCTTGTCCAATTAAGGCCTGGCGCCAATTCCTGGTTTTCATGAGCAAACTAGAGAATGCCCAATTGCCACCGGAGGCGGCCTCAACTTCCACACTCATGTAAGCAAATTCACAAAGGGTACCCTTTAGCTCAACACCCTAGCCTAACTGTTAAATTATCTAAGTAAATGGAATTTATTAAGAGCGTAGTTCAACCTTGCAATTCATTGCAGTTTTGATAATTTTGGATTGTGTTTAAAAAGAAATTTAGAATTTAGGATTTATTTTGGTACTTTGGTTCACTATGCGGTATCAGGACCATAATATGGATCACATTGTGGGCAAGGAACCATGGTAATGACCGCACCATGGTCATGGAACCATTATATAAACCACATTGTTGAAGTGAGGAGCGCTTGGACTACACATGCGTCTTTTTCTCTTAGATGTGTATATATCCATAGCAACATGCATTATACGTGTTAGCCAGATGTCATTATGGAGGTGACCTGCTCTCCTCCATATCCATATTTAAACACTGCCATTTCTCTTGTTTTGGCTAACATTTCTCTTTGAATTTCCAATGGTTTTCTCTCGCCTTGACTTCGTATCTCGACTAATAAAACTCTCTGAAAATCAAGTTTCAATACATTGATCTCAGCGAGATTTGTTTCAAATCAATATTTATTCAATTCCCAACCAATTTGAAGGCAAATTTGTAAGAAAAGTTTATATTTGAATAGTTTTTGAGTATGCTACTTTGAATCGATAAACGTGTCTGATAAACTGGTTGTATCATAGGACTATGCTCACCCAAACCTGATTGCATATTGGTTATTGTACCAAGTTGGGGGCATTCAATACTCGAAGAAAGCAAAACCATCTCGTGCTCCCAAGTTC